AAAAAATTTAAAAAACAGGAAGGGGGCCAACCCTTTTTCACACCATTGTATATGCATGTGTGCGTACGTAGTATAAAATAGTTGTTAACTATTTTTAAAACACATAATATTATTGAATTTTATTTTGACTTTCTTGGCTTCTGAGGTTTCATACATGTAGTAATGTGTATAATCTACCTAGTATGTTATGTTTTTGATGATAAAATGCTTTTCTTGTTTTTCCACAGAAAAAGCATGTGACCTTGACAAGCACTGTGGTGTGTTGGACCCCGAGAGAAAGAAAGTTTGTACTCGACTTTTGACTTGCAATGTGAGTTGACCACCACTTCCACCTATCACCTATGTTATTATCACTGTGCAATGTTTCAAACTGTAACTTCAAATAGTGAATATGTCTTAAGTACTGATCTTTATTCTGACAGAATATTCCAGAAAGCAGAATTGTTGCATCTGATGCTTTTTGCTGTCCTGTAGTAATAGTAGAAATCTATCTAACCTTCAGAGGGTTGAAGCCATTCACTGGATGCTGGTTTCAGTGTGTACACAGACAGGAAGTTCAGCGGACATGACATACAGGAAGTGGGGAAGGGATTACAGGAAAAGCCTCAGTGACTTCAGGTTCTTGTTAAATCAACAGATATTGGCTGTCTATAGGGCTGGTAGCTAAAATGCAAATATGACAATATATAAAGAGCAATAATTTCGTTTCATACTGTTTTTTTATGAATAGATAAGACATTCTGCACAGGAAGTTGCATGAGTAATTTTGAGTGATAAATGGTAATAAAAGACTATATTTTTGACTTTTTGATTGATAAAATACTATTGAAACATCTCTACATCCGTTAGATTATGAAGCTGTCTTTAGGGTTACTAAAGCGTTTTAAATGGCCTAATAAAAAGTGTATTAAAACCATTGCAATATTTACAATTTTCAACCTCAAAGTTATTGTGAGTATTTGATATCATGCATGTTTTTTTTTGTTTTTTTTTGGGTTAAGAAATAAAGGAAGAATAAAAGTCAAAGAATGATGTTCAAAGTCTAGGGCACGGTGCTCCACAAGTTTTATATAAAATGGTTTTTGGGGCATAAGGTGAGAATAACACATTGTTTGCTTTGTGCAGTCATTGGGGTGAGCACTTCTAAATTATTTATTATAACTGCACAGTCCCAAAGGCTTTCCAGTGCTTAATATTGCACAAAAGCAAAAACCACAATGCATAATGAAAGCACTTACACTCTCACGAGTTACGTTTTATGAATGATGTAATTCACAGAAAATGTGCTGCAAGTCTTGTCCAAAAAAAATAAAAATCATCATCTCTTCTCCAGATTCATTCCATTCATCAGCGCAGGAAGGTGCAAGGTAGGAGTAAAAACTTTGACCAGCTGGTGGCAGAGCTGAAGATGAGC